TGTGCAAGAAGCAGCATTCATCTTTTGAATAAATCTATTCATGAAGAGTTTCCCTCTGGGACCTGCCTGAAACTTACTGCAAGAAACACCAGAACAACTAATGGATCTAAGTGTAATCCTCATGCTAAAAGTAGAAGAAAATGGAAGATAGATATATAGATTGAATTTTAAGGGCTTAAGTTAAAGCTGTATATTTTCATTTTAAATGTTTTTCCTAATTTGTAGGTCCCCAACGAATGAACGAGTGTACAGGCGTAGTTCAGTACATCAGACAGGCTCTTTAAGACAGACAGACTGTCACAATGAGATGTTACAAAGTTGTAACTGGAGGCAGTAACTAGATAACTTGAAAAAACAAGACTTATTGTGCCCCAGGAAATATTCAGTAACACATAATTATATAACCATGTGGTAGTAAAAGCACAGACCTGTTACAGTCGAGCAGAGGTTTCATTAGTTTATATGAGTAAATCAAAAATATGACGGGAGCTGCAACAAAAAGAAAGACAAGTTAAAATCCTTTTTTTTTAAAATCCCTTGTGAAGTTAGATATTTAACCTTGTTATAATACATTTCTAATAATACAAGTTGTGATCTATAAGCGCAGTAGTTGATAAAAATTAATAATTTTTTTTAAAAAAAACCCGCAGCTCCACTAAACTAACAAATCAATACAACTAACTGGGGGCCACTGAGGCAATCAAGGCTGAGGCTCGCCCAATGATGTATAAGTTTCAGATAAAACCACGGGGCTTTCAAATTAATTAGTTAACTGGACCGTGTTTGTATTAATACAGTTGAAAAATTATATATTTAAAAAAAAACATAGAAAAAAATAGAAAGTAGCTTGTCTGTCACTAATATTTTACAGAATTTCTGTTTCCTGCTTTGTCATATGTCTAATACGGCTTTAGATGAACGCAGCGACCCTCACGTTTACAACACGCTTTTATGACCACCAGCTTTAACTGACAGATTTTTATTGCTTTTGTTATGTAATTACTGAATTGCAAATAAACCGCGTGTTGTTTTTTTTTTAGTTATTTTGCCAGACGTTTCATGGGGCACGAGAGTGTCGTTGCTATCCGTTCATTCTCGGGATTTTCCGGCATTTTCCGTCTGCGCTTCGTTCATTTCCGGTCAGCGTCGCCATCTGCTTTCTCGTCCTTCTCCAATCTCCGTGTTGTTGTTCCCGGTGACGCGGCGGAGGTGTAGCCTGACGCGGGCTCTTACGTGTCGGCCAGAATAAAAGTGGAGCTCCGGAGGCCTGGGAGTGACGAAGGGAGACTGTATCGGTAAGGACGAAGCGGTGTCCGGGGCTCACAGGGACGGGACACTGCCGTAGAAAGTGTCGGTCTGGTCGGGTTCGGCCCGAAGCAAACAAAGAGATCATGGCGCCGCGGTGTGTTTGTAGCAGGATGGAGGGAGGGGAGTCTGCGGCTGTTTGGGAGAAACGGAGCAGATGTGTGGCTTTGCTAGTGAACCAGGATGGGCAGAGTGTTAAGACACAACAAACGGCGGTCGGACTTTAGCTTTGTTAATACGCTCACATGTAAATGATGCTGTAGCTGACTGAGCTTTCTGCGCAAAGATTTGCGCTGTTTTCCTCCCGTTAAAGGCGCACTGAAAATACTAGCTACGATATTTGCGTTTTTCTCCGTTACTTGAAAGA